GAGGGGGAGGGGGAGGGGGAGGGGGAGGAGGAGAAGAGGGAGGGTCAGCCTCTAGTTTGGATTCTCTCTACAAAAATGCTCGCTCTTCTGGATCACTCAACCTCAGCAACAAGGGATTAAAGTAAGCAGTTTTCTCTCTTTTCTCCTCTTCCTCGTCCTTGTTGTATTGCCTCTCTTCTTTATCTTCCTCTTCCGCATCCTTGTATTGCCTCTCTTCTTTATATTCCTCTTTCCCATCCTTACTCCTCCTCCTCCCCCCCCTCTTTCTCTTCTTCTTCCTGCCTTTTTTTTAACAGCCATTTTGTTGAAACGGACATTTTAATATTTGTTGAACAAAATCGAAACCTACTTATTTGGCCCTAAGAATGTCACCATCTGAAAATGCCAATCCCCCTTGGATGTATCCTCTTCGCTGTTCTCTTTCCGTGAATTCTGTCTGTTTGAATTCTTGGAACCATTTTTTTTTTTTTTTTTTTTCTCAGACTGTAAACGGTTTTTCCGGCATATGGGTACGCCGGCCAGGTTAGATCATCACCCGCGGAATAAAGCACACTTAAAAAGTTGCAGTCTTTGGGTTTAACAAAGACATTTTTTGAAACCATTTGTAACTTAACTCTTTCATGTTTTTTTCTCTGGCGATTGAGGCCCCATTGGCGCTACATCCGTGCTCAACAGACATGATCCTGGCGTCATAACTTGCTCTGTCCATGTTCTGTTAGCACAAACATATCACCACTGCATCCTGTCCCTTTGTGAGACACTGTTTGTGCCATAATGTGTTGCCCGGCACTCGTGGTCATGGGTAGATGACCGTACTGTCCTTAGTTTTCCATTTTTTATCACATGAGCTTTGCACCTTTTTACCTTTGTTTGATTGTTGATTAGTATGATTACTGATTCTTAAGGGTGATTATCTGTTTGCTTGTGGTTGGACCTCTTTTTGTCCCTTCCTTTGGCTCCATTGAAAAGCAGCATCACTTATGATGATGCCCTTTGCATTCTCAATTCCTCTGTTGCCTTATGTCGTGTTAGCGTAAAATGACAAAATCCGTGTACAATTGCCAAAATGTCAAAGTGTGCCTTGTAGGTAGTAAGACCTTTGAACTCCGAAGTTTGGTCTAACTTTTGTCTGAAATAAATATAGGTTTCTTCACCTTTTTGGATGATAATAATGAGGTTGTTTTAGCATTTGTCGAGGTAGCTAAGCTAAGGAGTGAAATCCTTGTGTCCGTGGTTCGAACCTATGGTTAAACTCTCTCCTTCTCCTTTGTGGCTGGCTACTTGTCTGACGATAGACTATTAGGGCGTACCCACACCGGCCACTATTTCGACTGAGCTCTGGACGTAATTGCAGTTAGATGCATCCAGCGCAGGCTGTATTCGCGATAAGGTACATCCAGAAAAGTCCTTCTGTAAATATGCTATTCAACAGATTGTTGGTATGTCAACTTGTCGTCGTCGAGCAAAAAAAAGATCCGTCGTGAAAAAAGAGTCGTCGTCAAGCAAAAAAAAGAGATGACATTCTTTTTTAAAGCCCCCTGAGCATGACGTCTATTCTCATGCAATGGCAGTTGTAGATCTCGACTGCCATCCGTAACGTACAAGTTGAGATCGAGATCCATCCAAAGGCAAAGGTACTGTCACCCTTTGACCTGTCCGTACGGTACAAGTTGAGATCCATGCAAGGGTGAAGGTAGGTACCTTTGCCCTTGGATCCATTCGTAATGGTACAAGATGAGATCCGGTCCTTTGGATTCATCCGTGCAAGTTGAGATCCATCCAACGGCGAACAAGTTGAGATCCATCCAACGGCGAACAAGTTGAGATCCCCTTGGGTCCGTCCGTGCAGTACAAGTTGAGATCCTCACCCTTGGGTCCATCCGTACCCTAGAAGTTGAGATCCTGTCAAGGGTGAAGGTAGGTACCTTCGCCTTTGGATCCATCCGTACCTTACAAGTTGAGATCCGTCCAACGGTGATCGTACTGTACAAGCGGAGGTCCATACAAAAGCGAAGGCACCTTCGCGTTTGGATCCATACCGTAACACACATTTTTTGACATCGAACTGACAACCTCTGGCTGAGGAATCAGACCGTACCGAACAAGTTGAGATCCATCCAACGGTTAACGTACCATATACAAGTTGAGGTCTGTTAAAAGGCGAAGGCACCTTCGCCCTTGGATTCATCCTTATCATAGCACAAACATTTTGGCATAGAGCCGACAATCTCTGGCTGAAGAATCGGACCGCACCGTACAAGTTGAGATCCATCCAACAGCCAACATACCATACAAGTTGAGGTCTGTTTAAAGGCGAAGGCACCTTCGCCCTTGGATTCATCCTTGTCATAACACATACATTTTGGCATCGAACTGATAATCTCTGGCTGAACAGTCGGACATCCTTACCACTGTGGAGCGATGACACGGGATGTTGTTCCACTACACCACTGTGCGAATGCGACAACAGAGTGTACCCTGCAGAAGGATGTGGCTGGATACCTTTCCGCGAAAATAGAGTGTATCTTGCAAAAGGATGTGGCTGGATACCTTTTCTCAGTTGGTGAGTGGTGGAATGAGGGCCATGTCGTACAACAGCGAAGACGGTGAGGTCCTGACATCCATCCTGCCCTGCATGGTGTAGTTTTGAACTAGGCTACCAGAGTGGCCCGGGTCCACTTGCCCGGCCAAGAAAAAAAAAAAAGAAAAAAAAAAGGTAAAGAATTTCGATGTGACCCTGAGGCAAAAGTTGCTCAGTTTATTTTCTGCATAATATAGTTTTTTTTCGGAAATTTAAAATTTTCAATTTATTTTATTATTATTATTATTTTTCTGCTGGGACCTTCCCTGGTCCTTGCACGGCTGGGCTGCCCAGGAAAATAGGGTGACCCGGGCGGCCTGGCTGGTAGCCTAGGTTTTTGAACCAGTTTCCTTCTTTTTTTTTTTTTTTTTTTTTTTTTTTTTTCTAACACACCCGCCTTTTTTAAACACAACCGCCAAGTTTGCAAGGTGTGAAGATACGACAGCATGTAACCCTAGCAGCCGGGCATGTGGCTCCAATCTATTGGTGGGGACTCTGGAGCAGCATCTGCTGGAAATTGGGTCCAGCGTCCCTTATACAATGAGTAGATTGGTCATCTTGGAGAGAGAGTCATGGGATAAGTGACCAATTCCCTGCGTTAAGAATGTCTTGAATCAATTATATTATATTGTTATGAACTTTTTTGATGTTTTTTAAATTAAACCACCAGTATTGAACCCCCTCCTCTCAAACTCGTGACGAAAATGGGGGGTCCCTGTTAACCAATAGTGGACGATAGTGGCGCAAAATGAAAGACTCGACCCACAGGACACAAAGGGGAGGGTACTGGGTTGTGTGCTCAAAATCCAACTTTGGCATTTTTCCACTCTCATTTCCAGTGACGCAAAAGAAAATCAGGGACGTAGGGTAGGTTCTGCCATATCAGCGGGGAAAAAAAATAAAAAGTAATTTTAATAAACGACAACGTTTTTGGCTAGCAAAATCATATTTGCACCAAACCGAATGAATATGTTGATCAGAGTCGCTGTCACCTGGTAGACTTGGCGGTTGAGGCGGGGTAGACCGGGGCTGGTAATTTTCTTTTTAGGCTCAGCAATAAAATAGGGCCCTTGCTGCACCACTCATCAAATGCGTGAAATGAGAATGAATCTTTTGCGAACATGGAAATACGCTCCACCATTGTTTTTTTCTTTTCTGCATTTTGTGTGTGGTGCGACGAGGTCTTAGCTTCTGTGGTACCTGTGGTTTAATTAATGTCGAATTTGTATTTCTTAAACCACCACAACCTTTCACAGGCAGGCAAACTTCTGCGACGAGTTTTTTTGTGTAACCACTGCATTCGTCCTGGGGCTCAGTCTCCCGGACCTCTTTGGCTGGCAGTGCCAGTTAAAAAGACACAAAAAGTGCCACGCCGAATTCGTGTTGAGCTTTTTGCGCACCTCATATCCGCCACGGGGAAAAGAGGCCCGATGGTAGTGGTAGTTTAAACTTTAACGTGATCAGAATCCTTCGTTCACTGTTTGGTGGGGTAAAAATTGCGTTTCCAATTGTCAAGTGGGTTTATAAAAATGCACGTTTGTTTTATATTCTCTAAAGTTGCAACCTCTTTTTGGATGCATGGTGTGTGACTTGTTGCTTGTTGCGAACACAGGTGTATAGCAGATAAGGTGTTCAGACTGGCAGAGGGTATAGGGACAGATGAGAAATGGTGGGAGGTGCGTGACAACTGAGCTGGTATGCTGCATGTCCTTGGGCTTTTGTCTTCTTCTTCTTCTTCTTTTAAACCATTTCTCCATTGGCCCGGAGAGTGACCGTTTCTTGTTTGGCGGCGAGGGAGTGGGGAGGAGTCGGAGGACACACCATAACACCAGTAGATAGAGACTGCATTGACATCGCGAGAGGAGCTTTCAACTCTTTTCTTCTTCTTCGTCTTCTTTTTTCTTCTTCTTCTTCTTTTTTCTTCTTCTTCCCCTTTGTAAAGCTTCAAGTGTCTGTTCCACTTGCAGGGCACTTGTGAGGTGTGCCAAAAAGTGGTGTGGCACATCATGAAAATGTGAGGGGTGCAGAAAAGTGGTTTTGAACATGGAACCATGCAATGAGGATGCCAATAAACCAGATTGTGACATCTCACAGAAGACGAAACATGATCGAGGCGAGGTGGAAGCAGAAAACCAAAGTGAAATGGACACGAAACTGGAGCGAACAATGCACCAAAGTCTCTTGAGATAAAGAAAGCCTGTCATCAGCCTCCACTTGTCAAAAAAAATGATGACAATGTAGCTAGGAAGATTTTCATGACCGGCCGGTCACCCGGCGTGATGCCCCGGGGGGCCTGACACCCGGGATACCCGGGCATGGGGAAAAGAGTTCAAAAAACAATTAAAAAGTAAAATTAATTTTTGTTTGGCGGTGGTTTTTTTCTGCGCTCTCCGAGAGGAGCCCAAATCCGGGCTCTTTTCTTTTTTTGAGAGTTGGCTGTCAAGGGGGGGGAAGGGGAGTATAAATGAATTTTAAAGGGGCTAATGGGGTTTAAAGGGGGGTGCCTTAGTGTGATTTTTTATTATTATTATTTTTTTTATCTTCAGTTCCGTGAGGAATTCTGATGTGACCCTCAGCCAAAAGTTGTTTGTATTGCAATCTACACAACATATTTGTTTTTCAGATTTTTTTGGTGTTTTTTTTTTTTTTTTTTTTTTTTTTCCGCTGGGGCTGCCCGGCATGATCGGGGGTCATGCCCGGCCGGTCACCCGGTCGCCAAACCGGGCATGACGTCGGGACCCGGGTGCCCGGGGTATCTCCCTAGCGATGTAGCAGTCGTACCGGCGGCCTGACCGGCGGTTCTACTTCCTACCTCCTATCATACAAAAAGCCGATCTACATGCCAGCTCTCTGTCCCCAATGCCTTCCTTCCTATCTTGATCTCCGCACCCCACCGCCACCCAGCTATGGCTGGGCCTACCTCGCAGCTTGGCAGCGGTGCTCGTTCCCTGTTGGGCACTGCTCACTGCTTCTCCCAGCACGAATGCCTGAATGTACTGAATCTGGCGGCCTCCGGACTTTTGTGCTGGATTGGCAGGGCGTGTCCAGGCTCCATCCAGTCCCAGTAGGTGGTGCCTGAGGCCCATGGGGTCAGCATGCAGTCCCAGCCTCTGCGACTGACTGGTGAGCTGGGCCTACCGGCTAGTTACAGAGGTTGGCTGCTGCCAACCAATCAGGGGCCCTCGCCGGCCGTTACTTAGGGCCGGCGTGCAAAATTGCAGGCTTGCCTTCACTTAGGACGGGCAGGGCTTTTCTCTGAACGCCCGAGGGCCCTTGCTGCACGGCTGGCGGAAATAATGAAGAATTTTTAAAAATAAAAAAATGTTCAATCATTCAATGTTCAAAACATTCTGGGGAAAATAAAAAAACAGTTTTCGGCTAGGCTGCCAGCCGGGCCGCCCGGGTCCCGGGTGGCCAGCCCGTGCAAGGACCAGGGAAGGTCCCAGCAAAAGAAAAACGAAAACAAAAAAAATCAAAAAATTCCACCAAAAGAACTGTGTTATGCAGAAAAATAAACCGAACAACTTTTGCCTCAGGGTCACATCGAAATTCTTCACCAAATTCAAAATAGAAATGAAAATTTCGATTTTTTTTTTTTTTTTTTTTTTTTTAATGTTTTGGCCCGGCCGGGCAAGTGAACCCGGGGCAGTCTGGTAGCCTAGGTTTTCGGTTGTGTGCCCAAGAAGTGGTGTGGCGCACCATTAAAAGAAATGAATGAAGAATTAAATAAAGAAAACAAAATTTTTTAAATGTTCAAAACAATCTGGGGGAAAAAACAGTTTCTAGTTTTAAGTACCTTTTTCAACAAGTAAGATTTTGGGACATCATCCCAGGCAAAGTTGTTCCAATTTTTTCAAATAAGTTTTCACTACCATTTAGAACTTCCAAGTACTTTTTACACCCCAAAGTGACCACATAGTTCTTTCTGAATTTTTCGAAAACATGGGCCTCGCTCCACTATTCACCACGTGCACAAAAGAAGTTTCCAACTTTCCACACATGGTGCACTAGAAGTAGGGTTTCCACACATTGTGCACTAGAAGTCGGGTCTCCAGTGTTCCACAAATGGTGGAGCAATTTCCACAGACATGGTGTGCTGAAAGCCTGAAATATGGTATGTGATTGTGGTGTTTTTTTTGTTTGTTTGTTTCTTTAAAAAGTTAAAAAAACTTTAAAGAGCCATTTTTATATATACAATTTACGAAGCTGGGAAACGGGCCCAGCGTCCCTCTCAATGTACAAGTCCCTCGAGAGGGAGGGCACTGGGCGCTTAAGTGTCTGTTCCTGTCCAGCGTCACCATGCGAATAGCGAGTTCGGAGGTATATCTCCCACAGTATCCTGCAACGTGTTGTGTCAACAAAGCGACAGTGGTGTTTCGGCATCGGGAGGTTTGTGCGATCAGCTTTTCTGTGTGTGTGTGTGTGTGTGTGTGTGTGTGTGTGTGTGTGTGTGTGTGTGTGTGTGTGTGTGTGTGCTGTCTGTTTTTCTCTGTGCCTTGTTTCCATCCAGGTGGCAGATTTGCAAAAGCTTGTGTTGTCACACAACCATATCGAATCAATCCAGGATGAATTGGGCGGGCTTGTCACTCTCACTTTTCTTGATGTTAGCTGCAACCGACTGTCATCCATGCCAGCTACGACAGGGAGGTATGAAGTACTGTAAAGCAAAAGAGCCTTTTCTGTGTTATGGATCGACCAAGCAGTGCCATGCTGGGGATGCTACTGTGTGTTTCACGATTCTGATGCTCTCGTTTGACGTGATTCTCTTTGAGTATTAAAGAGACTTGACATTGGTCCACTTTTTTGCTGTTATGTGGAACACTTCCCAAGTTGTGCATTCCACGGCACGGCCCCCCCGCCCCTGCCTCCCCCGCCCTGCCCCCTCCCCCGTGTACAGGGGCGCCACTACTGTTCTCTGTAGTGTCCCAGTTTTGACAAACTTCCTGAAGAATAAATGCCAATGCAAAATAATTATGCTATATCAAATATACTGTTGAATCCCTTGTCGATGTGTGTGTCCCATCCTCCTATTAGTAGGGGCCATGCTAACCTTCTCTTCTGTGTATTGTTCCAATCCTCAAATTAAAAAATAAAATAAAATAAATAGAATAAAGAGCTTACGGTGAATCGTTTTCCAATTCTAATGTGTTTGATGTCCTGAAAGATATGTACCGGTGAATGTTTGAAACTTGAAAATCATTTAATCCCATTTTTTATACTGAGAAAGGGAAGGAACTTCAAGAAAGCCAGCAAGCCAGCTAGCCAAGCGAGCCAGAAAAAAGCCCGCCAGCCAGGTAGAAAGCCCACCAGGCAGCAAGTCATCCAGGAAAAGAAACCGAAACAGGTGCCTGGGGGCGTTCAGAATCAGGGTCTTCAAGATGTGCTGGATGTTTGAGGGGTCGACAGGATGTCAAGTTGGGTCTGTAGGTGTGGTCACTAGGGCAGGTGTGTGAGGTCAGGGTTTGGCTAGACTAGCGTCTTCCCCTGAACACGATGCACTCTCCTCATGACTGTATCGAACAGGGAAAAGAGTTGGTATGCATTCATGATGGCCTCGTATTCTGTTTGGTAACTTTGGGGGAAGAAGATAGCCCGAGGACCAACTAGATTTTGGGGGATGAAGATAGTCCGGGGACCAAGTAGATAAGCTGTAGCTTGTATACATTCATGATGGGTTGCTGCTGTCTTCCACTGAACAGGGTGCATTCTTTTCAGGGGATTTATGGTAGTGCTGCAGAACAGTTTGGCACGGTGTAGGGAGACCTGTGCTGGACATTGGCAAATGTAGATGCAACTTCAGAGATGTGGTCTAGGATGGTTGTAGGATGGAGAGAGAGAGAGAGAGAGAGAGAGAGAGAGAGAGAGAGAGAGAGAGAGAGAGAGAGAGAGAGAATTAAACTCCAGGCGGACAGTGCTGGCGATTTGAGGTGGTGTCGTTTTTAAATGAAGAAAGGCAAGAAGGAAGGGAGGAAGGAAGGAAACTAGAGGGACAAAAAATGGAGGAACATAAAGAAAAACATGGAAAACGAAGGAAAGGAAGGAAAGAGAGATGTCTGAGCGATACGCGTGTCAGGACAGCTTTGGGAAAGAAATTCAAAGAACTAGAGATGCCAACTATGTATGACAATTGCGGCCATTCATCAATTGATTTCACTTTGGTTTGCCGTTTTCCGCAGTCGTAGTCGTACTCTTGTAGTTTATCACAAATTCCTTGGCTTTTGCAGTTTTTGTGGTTCAAATCAAAAGTAAAAAAGAGAAAAAAAGAAATGGAGCAAGGAAGCAGAGGGAGGGAAAGAACAGATGGAAAAGGAAGGAAAGGAAGGAAAGATTATTTGACTTGACTTGCCGCCGTTGCCGGTGGAAAAGGAATCGGACTGACGCTCCCCAGAATGGATATGGTGCCAGAACGGTAAGGCTCTGGTTTTGAAAAAAAAAGGAAAAAAGGAAAGAAAAAAGGAAAGAGAAAAGGAGCAAGGAAGGGAGCAAGGAAGAATTGGGAGGAAGAGAGGTGAAAGGATTCAAGCTGCAGACAACCCGAGACGTGGTCCAAGAGTCCCAAATTGTCCTGGTCCCAGTTGGGACCAGTCCCAGATGGTCCTGATCCCAGGCTGTGCCGTTAGGGTAGGTCCTAGGGTCCGTAGGTTGACGTGTCGAAGGCCTGTAGGTGTCGGTACCGAAGTGTCACAGGTCGTTATAAGTCAGTCCGGTACCCGACAAGGAAAGTCCAGAACATTCCAGTCTAGTCCCAAGTCCTATTTTGCAACATGTCCCCGGAAAGTACGGAAGCGGACCGACGAAAATGATTGCAGCAGACAAGCCGCGGCCGACCGGTACCAGTCTGAAGCAGGCCAAGCCAAAGTCGAACTCTCTATATTTGGCTGCTACAGGGCAGCGGCTGGGCATTTGTTCAATTGCAAGATGCCGAAGCGCTGCTGTGCTGCTTGTGCGTTGAGCCAACTTGGGCATATAGCGCCTGGAGGAGAAAGAGGGCACTTGAGGGATACTCCAGAGTTAGGGTAGAGGCGGCCATAGCCGCCCAGCTGTATGCTTATCTGAGTGGGTGTATCCAGGGTGACGATCTAGGGTTCAGAGAGAGGGAAAGAGATACAAGTGCAAGGAACATGAGTATGGACGAAGCACAGAAATCCAGAATGCAAAATCACACTGAAGTCCAAGTAGTCAAAGCCAAAGCAGATAGCACATGGAA